GCAAGGTTTTAAGCAATGGATAGCCTTATTCAGTTTCTTACTCTCTGGTGCATTTCGCTAGAGGAAGGATGGAAAGGCTACTTTCACTTTCAAAGGGTGCTGGTGATAGAAGAGAAGGAAGGGGAGGTTATAGGTCCATTCCTGCTATAGGCATTGTAACAGTAGTGGATAGTTACATGGATTGCTTGCTGGGTCTAATTATAGGGCAAAAGCTAAGAAATTCGAAAGCCTTTACAAAAAATCAAGGGCTGTTGTATTCCCCCTATTTAATTAAAGGGGAGGAGTAGTTCCTAGTCGCATTCCGTATAGCGATAGTGGGATTGCCTGTAGTACCAACCTTAGAAGCAGGCTCAAGAGCAAGGAAAACCAGCCTTCCTTCAGTAAGGGAGGATAAGTCAAAGTATTTGGCAGTCCCTCGTGAGTTCGGCACGCACTTCTTGTTTCGTCCTGCCCCCGCACAGTTTACGAGCCAAAGTCATCTCCAGAACAGCTGATCCAGCCCTATAGGATAGGACTGACTAACAAGTCATCGCAGCATCCGTTGGATCAGTTCTTCAGCCGCCCAGAACGCAGTAGGTTCCTTTAGTTATGAAGTGTTTTGAAGTAATCAGTAGCTACCAAAAGAAGGGCATTATCAGTAATAAGGGAGCCGACGCATTCCAAGCTTGTGATGATTCCTCATCTTACGTGGCATCCGTTCTTGCCTACCGTGTCATCATATCCGACGGGGTACTGTATCGCACTATGTTCTATTTTATACGCTACGATCTTAAAATTCCTTCTGCTGCTGGCTTGTTTTTCTTCAGATCGAGGGGTATGAAAATTAGGGATTTGAAATTGATAATGCTGTTTGGGCTCCTACCGAAGCTGGGACTCAAGCCCAAGGCACGGATCTGGTTCAAGAAAAAGTGGACGAAGGCTTGGTTGAGCTTGAACCCGGTCCTTTGAGGGATCCCTAAATCCTTAAGTTAAGTCCCAAAATGGATACGGACCCCTTGAGAATTTGATTTATTTGGTTATTGCGGAACAAGCGTTATAAATTTGCAAACTTTGTTTGTTTGAAAAGAGAGATCTATGATAAAAATATTAAAATAAACAAAGCAACGATAGGAAATAAAAAATGTCTATGACAAATATGGAAAAATGCCTTTGAATGGTCGTAATCGTCGACAACCCAACCGACGTCCACCATAGGCTCGGCGAGCTGTCCTCCTAGATTTCCCGATGGTAATGCCAGGGCCTTTTCAGTACTGACGACTCTTGATGCCAAGAAGGAGACGAGACAGACCATTGTTCATAGGTTGGTTATAAGCCCGGAGATCGAATCTGATTCATCCCCTTTGAGAGGGATTCTCGTGTCAACCATAGGAAGAAGAACTCGGTTACTCATCTTGGATCGGATTGGATCAATAGCTTTGTGCTGATCTACGAACGACCCTTCTTATTTTATTTCTACTTCTTCAAGTCTCCATCATCCCGATCTCTCTTTCCGGGGTTGCCTGTCCAAAGAAAACAGAACCTCTTCTAGTTCAAGGTCGGAATCCTCAAACCAATCAAAATATGATTTCTAGTTCACTATTCTTATGATAAGCAGTTATGTCTCATTCATGTGATGAGAAATATGAGAATTAAAATTATAAAATGGAACATCTACGGCAGATTCTGTGCCCCAAATCATTTATACTTATGAAACTAAGCGGGCGGACCCCTCTCCAATGGAACAAAGGGGATCCGTAGGGCGGACTCACTCACATACTGGATAGGTGGCTCGGAATTAGAGTGCTAGTTCCGGGAAGAGAAAGCACGAATCTATTACAATCTTAGTAGAGAACAGAGGAGGAATAAAAACGTTGGTTCTTCGTTCCGTCCTTGACCTATGATATGATCAATGGCTTAATCCATCCACTGGACCACCTGGAATTCTTAATTAAACCTTTACCCTTGAGATTGAAAAAGGAAATTGGATTTTCTTATGAAATCTTCTTTTCTTAGCTTAGATTAAGATATCATCAGACCGGTAAGTTCAATCAAATTAAGAAGGAATGAATTGATTTTGTGATTCCTTCTTTCCGCTCTTCGCTTAGCTACACCGGCTTACAGATGCCCATATCCTTCATGGATCTAGGAGTTCATACGAATAATGGCTAGCGGGATTCCGCATTCAATCGGAGTTGCCTTAGTTGGTTTCCGGCACTAAAGACTCTAAATAGTAGTTTATGCCGCTTCAAGAAGCATTCTAATCCCTTCTTTAACTTACAGGGCAATCAAGGAATAGAAGCTACCATCCTAGGGAGAGGATCTATTATCTCTCTACCCAGCTCCTTGTCTAGCAGCCAAGAACAAGAGAGCTACTTAACTCAGGTTTAAGAATGATTTAGGGTCAGATGAGAAAACCAACCCTAGGAGAGAGGCTTTCACTCCTCTTCCCCGCCTCGAGGTCTTCGGTTGGAACTGATATCGTTTTTGTTCGGCACTGACTTCTCGGTGTGAGGGCTATTGCGTTTTTGGAATGTACTATAGGGTTGACTTGCTTTCTTTGTATGTAGCTTGCTGAGTAGAGTAGTGGATTAGTTCAAGACTGGACTTTCCTTCCGACTAACACTAACAAGGCAAGTACTCCATTTTCGTTCTTTGTTCCAATGCGTCGTCATTGTACCTTCACGCATGACTAACGGCGGGGATGATTCAAACAAAGAGGTAAGACCGGACCCGGAAGGTGCCCCGGAAAGTATACAAAAGTCTACATCGGTGTAAAAGAGCGTATTTGAAAAACAACAGTCAAGAAAGAAAAGGTCCAAAGCTAGTTTGTCTTTAGTTCAGCCTTCTTCGAAGACCCCACGGAGCGGTAAGGAATTCCTTAAGTTCAGTTACTTCCATGCCTTGTAGTAGTAATCCCTCGTTCAAAGTAAGTGGAGATTCAAAGCCCTTGTCTCCAGCTAGAGAGATTTCATTCTCAGTCCAGAAGCTAGTGCAAGGTTTTAAGCAATGGATAGCCTTATTCAGTTTCTTACTCTCTGGTGAATTTAGAGAGTCAAACCCACAGGTGAGATTTCGCTAGAGGAAGGATGGAAAGGCTACTTTCACTTTCAAAGGGTGCTGGTGATAGAAGAGAAGGAAGGGGAGGTTATAGGTCCATTCCTGCTATAGGCATTGTAACAGTAGTGGATAGTTACATGGATTGCTTGCTGGGTCTAATTATAGGGCAAAAGCTAAGAAATTCGAAAGCCTTTACAAAAAATCAAGGGCTGTTGTATTCCCCCTATTTAATTAAAGGGGAGGAGTAGTTCCTAGTCGCATTCCGTATAGCGATAGTGGGATTGCCTGTAGTACCAACCTTAGAAGCAGGCTCAAGAGCAAGGAAAACCAGCCTTCCTTCAGTAAGGGAGGATAAGTCAAAGTATTTGGCAGTCCCTCGTGAGTTCGGCACGCACTTCTTGTTTCGTCCTGCCCCCGCACAGTTTACGAGCCAAAGTCATCTCCAGAACAGCTGATCCAGCCCTATAGGATAGGACTGACTAACAAGTCATCGCAGCATCCGTTGGATCAGTTCTTCAGCCGCCCAGAACGCAGTAGGTTCCTTTAGTTATGAAGTGTTTTGAAGTAATCAGTAGCTACCAAAAGAAGGGCATTATCAGTAATAAGGGAGCCGACGCATTCCAAGCTTGTGATGATTCCTCATCTTACGTGGCATCCGTTCTTGCCTACCGTGTCATCATATCCGACGGGTTACTGTATCGCACTATGTTCTATTTTATACGCTACGATCTTAAAATTCCTTCTGCTGCTGGCTTGTTTTACTTCAGATCGAGGAGTATGAAAATTAGGAATTCGAAATGGATAATGCTGTTTGGACTCCTACCGAAGCTGGGACTCAAGCCCAAGGCATGGATCTGGTTCAAGAAAAAGTGGACGAAGACTTGGTTGAGCTTGAACCCGGTCCTTTGAGGGATCCCTAAATCCTTAAGTTAAGTCCCAAAATGGATACGGACCCCTTGAGAATTTGATTTATTTGGTTATTGCGGAACCAGCGTTCTCACTTTGCCAACTTTGTTTGTTTGAAAAGAGAGATCTATGATCCCCCTATTACCATAAATAAAGGAAAGATCGGAAATAAAAAATGTCTATGAGCCCTATGGCCTTTCACTCCCGGAATGTGCTTTAATCCAAGGAAGCACTTACCGGACATCTATATCTAGGGCTTTTGAAACCGGAGATCCTTCTTTTTTCTATTCGGGAGGCTAACAGCTAAGTAAAGGCGCCTTATCTTTATAATCCGGTAGGTTTGAGCAAAGGCCATAGCTATTATAATCATTGCCAGCAATACCGCCGTTGACAAATCCGCCTTAGCCTCAGGTAGTTGATACTTTCAGGGGGAGCAGGCTCATCATTTCGACAAAAGTCGTCTAACTCTTAGTAATGGCTTCCATCTCAAAAAAATCTTTTTTATTTGATTTTTATATTAATGGATCATTCTCAATTGGCAGAAGGCCTTTCAACCGGCTCTCCACCTGCGACCTGGAAAGAAGATCCACCTACTGAGCTTTCTTTCAGGGCAATGAGATTGCTTAAGTCTACCTTGTACTAGCTTACTTTATTTATAAGGGTTAATGCTCATTTGGTGATTAGCTCACTTGTAAAATCCAATGCCAATAAGAAAGTAATCCCAGAATAAAGTTAGAAGGGATAGAGATTGCCCTTCATTGGGGCGATCGGAGTGAGAATACCGTAACAAGCTTTAAGGGAGTAGGCCCGGGAATCGATACCGGAGATTGATGACCAGCAACGGACAAATGACTTACTAGAATAAGATTTTTTTCACTGATCCGCTAAACCTCTCCTGCTTTCACTATTCTATTATATATAGGGCGAGTGACTTCGTACCTCTCCTGACCGAGAAAAAGAAGTTCCAGAGGCATCCTCCATTCATATCGATTTGGGTTTTTCTGCACCATATTTTGATCTGCCTCTTCTTCGATCCGGAATTCCCAGCAAATCCTTGACTCCTCGAATACAATGGGATTTCACACCTGGCAAATCTTTCACTCTACCTCCTCTTATTAACACCATAGAATGTTCCTGCGAATTATGACCTTCGCCCGGAATGTGAGCAAATATATCATGTCGATTGCTCAATCGTACTTTGGCTATCTTACGTGGAGCTGAATTTGGTTTTTTCGGTGTTCTCGTTGAAACACGCGGGCGTACTCCTTGCTTCTGGGGACATTGATCCGAAGCTCGAGTACGGTCCGTGCGCCGTTTTTCTTCTCTACCATGACGAATCAATTGATTTAATGTAGGCATCGCTCTTTCCTTTGTCCTTCCTCCCTATTTTTGCCCTATCACTAGTGATTACTCCCGATCCGAAGCACCCCTTTTCCATTCATAGAGAGATCCAATCGTCAAAATCAATAAAAAGGCCATCATAGACCAAGATCCAAACGGATCAATCTTGTTGGGAGGTACTGCCCAAGGAAAGGAAAAGGTTACTTCCGGATCAGGAATAATAAATAAAATGGAAACAAGATAAAATCGTATATCGAAACGACTTCTGGCATCACCGAAAGGATCGAAACCACATTCGTAGGCCGACAATTTTTCTGGATAGGTCGAACTATTGGAAGCAAAGGGAAAAGGAAGACCGAGTAAGATCAAAGAAACTAGCAGACTGATCACTAAATAGATACAAATAGGTGCAAATTCTGACATTACCACAAACCACTTGGTTCTTTCGCTCCTTGCTGGCGGAGCGGCATACCGGAAAAAAAGATCATTAAAAAAGCGTGAGTCGTCATTCCATAAAAACTTACCTTACCCTAGAAACCATATCAACCGATTTAATTAACAAATGAATCCCCCTCCCCTTGTTTTTGGGGTTCATTTTTCTGAGGAGGGGAGTAGGCCGGATTCTGTAGTAAAACCGGCATTAGCGTTTGGCCATTCTGACCAACGGAGAGGGTAAACAGCGTTAGATATGGGTACTTATGGGGTGCATTCAAATAAAAGTAAATACACCTCTTATTGAACTCAAAAACCTCCTTAGAGGAGCGTTCATGAAAATAGAGGGAATGCACTAGATACTCCCTCCTAATTCCAGTTACTAAACCATGGATGGTATAAATTAGATAAAACATAAAAAGACTTACAGTTATAAAAAAACTATAGGCGAAATGCGGATGTTCCCGCAATATTGTAAGGATAAAGTCCTTCATTTGATTTTGTTCATTAAAAGACAGCTCTGCTCCCCCAAAGGAGAGACTTTCTTTTTCTCTCCGGAAGACGGAAATCGCCAGTTGGGTTTACCAACCAAGAAAGACATGGGAAAAGAAGGATGCACAAAGGAAACAGGAAAGCTTTTATTGGGAGCAATATCAACTACCCGCTCTAATATAATTTAATAAAGACCTAGCTAAGAGACTTTACTGAATGACTTGATCGATCGTACTGTACTAGATAGATCATAATCCTTTCATACGCAATTTTTGATCCAATCTCGCACTTGACACGCAAAGCAATAAACAGCAGTCTATCTTCACAGAGAAAGAGAAGGAGCGAAGAAGCGCTCGACCTACGGGAAAGTTTTGTTAGTAACTCGAATGATAAGGAGAGGAGTGAAGCTTACTTATAGTTAGACCCTCACGGCACACTTTTGACTTGAACCCTTCTCTAGTTCCAATGAAAGATACCTAACGGTGTCTATATCTCAATTTCACACTCAATCGCTTTTTGATCCCCTAAGTAAGCAAGCTACCTTGCTTATATATATATGTATGCTTTTTCTTTCAAAAGTCTTTCTCTGGCAAAGAATGCCTATCACCCCAGCTCATTCCCTTCCCCATGTGGATTCTAAACCCCCATGAAATCAATGCTTTTCGGACATTAACTATGTAACCCCCAGTTAGAAAGAGCCTCATTCTCGAAGAGGGGATTCAATAGCAGCCAAAGAGGGTATTTTAGTTCTTGCTACGAGCCCATTTCTTTTGTACTCAGAGAAGAAGGACTTCTTTCAAAGAACCGATTCTTTATACGGTAAATGAAATGGTTAAACCCCCTAGTAATATTATATGGGCGCGCCGTAGAAGCCAATTCGGTGAAAGAATGCAGGCAGCTTTAAGGGATAGAACCTACCCTACCCACGGACCGACAGATAGGACGGCACCAGAAGCTACCTCTATTTTCGCACGAAATAGCGGAAAGCGGTATACGAAGGAAGCATCAGGAGATGTGAGAGCCCTCGCTTGAAGAAGCTTATTGTGTGTGATAATCCAGTCGGGGAATTGACTCCGCAGCCGCTCGAAACATAGCTTAGGGAATGCCTTGAGCGAGCCGAGTGCGTATCCCCTGAGTACGATGCCCTAGATCCAGCACCAACCGATCTAGGCCGGGCCAACCATTGATCTATTCGAACGCCTTCCCGCTGTTTTTCCTTAAGAGATGCCGGTGGTGGTTGGAACCTTGTGAAAGACCAAGCAAGAATCGCCCTTTAAGCCACTCTAGAATGGGGCTATAACTGAAAGACCAAAGGGGACTGGTGATACAACTGGAACCCCATGCCCTCGATCGGACCTTACTTAGTCTTAATCTCAACCAAAAGGAAATGGGCCTAGCTAAGGTTTCTTGAAGTCTCGGAATCCTAAGACAGAATCGGATGAGTTGAAAGCTTAAAGAGCTTTACAATATAATCATAATCGGGTGAGACAATGACCCTTCCTCAAGGCAAAGTCAATCTAACCTGCTAGCTGGGGGAATGGCCACTGGAAGGAGGAAAGCGACATACTATAATACGCAATTTTCTACATAAGAGATTCCAACAACTTCATCAAGAAAAAGAAAATGCGCCAAAGATTTTATTTGCTCAAGGGTAGAAGTCAGTCTTTTTCCTTAGCGGTCTTTGGGCTTAAGCTTCCTTTCTTCCTTCAGAGAGGGGGGTATGCACCACTTGTGGATAACAGGAGCAACAGAAAGACTATGTACCAGAGCCCTAACCATCGGGACTGATACAGGACTAATGTTGACCCGACCTTTTTGATTAGAAACAGCTTAGCAAACTTAGCGATCCCCGGTCAGAGATCAGAGACCTTGATTTTGATATGGTCATCTGAAGCTCCTCCACGGCTTCCTCGTAAAGTTCTGCTACGCGCCTATCCCCGATGACAATGTCATCACCGAGAATAGCGTACTTCAGAAACCTTTGGAGTAAGACGAGCCTGTATGAATTTATTATAGAAAGAAGAGCCGCATTGTAAGAAAATGTCAGTGAAAGCTCTCTTCTAGGCGCTTCCACAGCAGACTCAATAGCTGCAGTATCCCTATCGGTACAGTAACTTCGTACCTCAGTGATGACTGATGATATTAAGCCAAGGGATCGATTAGCAGGGGAGATAAATCATACTTTTTTCCATTACCCTAAGTAACTCCGTGCCTCTCGCTTTAGAACCTACCTAGCTTTGCCTTTCCCCTTTTACTTTTATAAGATTATAAGAAGAGGATGCCTTGAGTTGGCCCTAACCTAATTTAGGTCTTTCGTTTGATGAAGGAAAACGTAGTCTTACCACTCCAGAATGTCGGCACCGTTTGGGCCTTTATAATTCAAAGGGGAGCGGCAGGTAAATATCTAATGCTAAATAAAGAATTTAAGCTCATCTTCCCGGAAGGAACTAACATCCAAGCCGAACAAACGAGCTCAGAGACGATTCTCTTTCTTGAAAATTACCTTTTCTCCTGGTGGTGAGCTCCTTCTCTTCTTTTACTTTTACATAGATTGCCCATATGCGTAGGTGCTCCTCTCCTCCTTCGCGAAGTGTCTAAATTACTTTTCCTATCTCTTTTCTATAGGGACTGACTGATGGAAGGGAGAGTCAATTAACAACCGGAAAGCCTGTTTTCATGGCACAGAGAATCTCTTCCTTTCTCTGAAAAACTTGTATTACTCTGCAAGTTCAATAAGATCCGGCATAAATGCGTTCCAGAGTCTTTAGGTGTGGTATCATATGTATCCCGCTCGTTTAGTTTTTAGTTAAAGTATTAAGTATCGTCAATTCCATACCACCTTCGCTCGAGAGTGACGATGTTTAGTGTTAAGTAATTAGTAAGTAAGTAAGCGGTTCTACTTGATCTCATGAACTATAAAAAGTTTAGCCCAGTCTAGTCCAATCTCATATCCGGAGTTCCTAGCCTTTGAGAACTAGGTTAATAAGTAAATCCGAAATCGCTGATCCTGCAATGGCAGATAGATCTTTGACCCATCCGCAGCGATAAAAGCGAAAGCGGCTAAAAGCCACGAATAACGGGCAACCTATTAACTAATAGCTTCCAACGAGGACAAGGGATGTCGATGAATTAGCCTCTCTTCTGGGCAATCTGCTACTTTATCACTTTATCTAAGGACATTTGGTATCATCAAAAATCACATAGGTTCAATTAGTATCTAAATAGAAAAGGTGATATTTTAAAATATTGGAAAAACTCTCGTTTGAGGACCGGGGGTATTAAATATTTAATATGTAGCATCTCTTCACAGTGAAATCCCTCTCATTTTATGCTGCAAGAGTAGCTAGAAGGTTGTATGATTATTCTCTGCTGCTAAGGTTGCTGGAATCGGTGCCTTATTAAGATGGGCTTTCGCCTTTAGTAGGCCAAAGCTAAAAAAGAAGTTTTCACCCAGCGAAAGAAAGGTTAGCCTAGGTAAAATGAGCAGGGGTGAATTATTCCATAAATTTATCATTAGTGTTGTTCTTAAATCCTACCTACCGGTTAATAGGTTTTTATACCTGGCAGGAATAGCAGACCGTGGAAACAACTCATTATAGCTTAACTTTGCTGGCCGGCTAAAGGCTTTGATTGCGGGCATAATATGATATATATAATATATAGTATGAGTCTGGTTTGCTTCCTTTAGATTAGCGGACTACTTGAACAGCTTACATCCGATTCAAGGTAACTAAAAATCCTAACCCACTCTTCAAAGCCCTTGACTTTTAGTCGATTTATCCCATTTTCTTCCAACTGTCGTAAGACTTTCAGAATCTTCTTTGGAAGAGAAATTCGCTTTACTCTTCTGACTAATG